GGGCGGGCGGGCGGGCGGCGGGGCGGCCTTGGGGGCCACTGTCAGGGCCGTGCTGGGGGAGGGGGCTATGTGTCTAAGGCTGCTCGCGGCGGGCGGCGGGCGGCCCCGTCTTGGCCGTGTCCTTGCCCGTTGGGTACTCGGCGTCCCCTCCAGGGCCGGGGCCAGCGGCCGCGGAGTCACCGAGTGGGCCGTGGGCACTCCGCTTGGCGGGCGTGCTGGGGGCCTGGGCCGCCTGCCCGTTCTTCTCGTCTGAAAAAAGTTGTTTAATTACGTCAAAGAAGTTACTCAATGGGCTGCCTGGGTACACAGAACAGAAGACAAAAGAGAAAAAAGAAAAAAGAAAAAAAAAAGAGAAAGAGGAAGGGGGGTAAGGAGAGAGAAAGAGAACAAACAAACAAATGAACGAAAGGGTCTCCACCACGAGAGAAAGAAAACCCAACGAGATGAGGTCTGAGCCGGGCTTGGCAGGCGGGGGGGGGGGGGGGGGGGGGGGGGGGCGGAACCGGGGGGGGGGGGGCAGCAGGTGGAGAGACCCCTCCTCCCTCACCGCGCCTGGCCCTGAGGCCCTGGCCCCCCTGCACCTCAGCCGCCCCATGGCCTGGCCACCCGGCCAGCCCCGCTCTGGAGACCGAGGCAGAAAAGCCACCACTGCCACAAGCCCCAGGGCTGAGCAGGACCCTGGGGCCCCCGGCTGCCTCCTCGCCCGGGGACCAGGGAGCCTTCTCTGGGCTGGGGAGGCTGGAGCCAGTGTGCCCGCCACGCTCCTCCCGGGAGGCTTGGAGCCCGGCCCCCGGCCAGCCCAGGCAGCACCGCATGGACACAGAGGTCAGCAGGAGACACACAGATGGACAGATGGGTGAACAGGCATGGAGAGCTTGGGTATGGGAGGGCTGGGGGCAGGCAGCCAGAGTGGGGGCCCTGATCCCAGAGGAAGAAGGCAGAGATGGTTTGACCACCCCCACCTGGGGGCCTTGTCCTACTGTCCAGGTGCCTCCGCTCTACCTCTTAAACCTGACTCCCCCAGCCCGGAGCAGTGGGCAGGGGAGTGCGTGCACGGCACCCTCCCCCACCCCACCCTCCAGCAGCCTCCAGCCCAAGGTCTGGAGTGTACCCAGACCCCAGACCAGAGCCCACACAGGCCCTTGCTGGCCCTGGGGCGTGGAGACCCTTGACTGATCTGAGTCTCGGGTTCCCTTCCTGGCCTGCCTGGATCCTAGGGCTGGGCCAGTGGCTGCCCTAGGGGGCGGGTGACCGAGGCTGCTCCTGGCAGAGGTGGGGGGCTGGGGGGGCCCGAGTGTGCGTGTCTGGGCCCCACGTGTATACAGGGACCCCAGGGTGGCCCTAAGGGTGGCAGGGGTAGCACCCAGCCAGGAGCGGGCTGCAGGTGGGGGTGACAGGCTGGGGGATCCCAGGTGAGCGTGAGGGGTTCTTACCACATTTGGAAAGCCTCCCCGTCATCATTTCCATACAGTTAGTGGTGTCTGGAGCACAGAATGGAGAGAGGAGGGAGGGAGACGTGTGAAAAAGTCTTCCCACTCGGAGCCCAGGCCAGGCACTGCCCTCAGCCTCTGGCCAGGCCCTCCCGGAGGGGGCAGAGCCCGGGTTGGGGGCGGGGCCACGGGGGGGAGGGGCCGGTGCTGCGGGGGCTGGCACGCTGGAGAAGGAGGCTAGGAGGCTGGGAGGGGTGGAGCCCCGAGCAGGGGGGTTGGGGCAGGTAGGGTGGGTTCCAGCTGGAGTTGGGTGGGACTTGGGGGGGGGGGGGGGGGGGGAGCCGGGGGTGGGGCCGGCTCAGACTGTGGGCAGTGAGGGGGGTGGGGCAGTATCCTGGTCAGAGGAGGGTCCTGCTGCAACCAGAGCCTGAGGGCAGGACGGGGCCCTGCCCATCGGGTGCCCTGCACCCACCTGGGCCTCCGTCTCCTCTGTCCTGCCCTGGGCCCGAGACATGTGCTCTGGAACCGAGAAGCTCAGGGCTCTGGTTGTGGCCTACTCTGGACAGGTGAGTGTCCTCATCCTGCCACTCTGCAGCTCAGGCAGCTGTATCTGCCCCTCAGCCCGTGCTGGCACCCCGCTCCCTTCTGCTGGGCCCGGGAGTGTTGGTGCTCCAGGGGCCTAGAGTGTAGGGCTCCTCCAGGCTCTCACAGGGGCCTATGCTGGGTGGGATGGGACCTCTTGGCCTCCTTTCCCTAATTGGAGTGACCACCAGGTCTCTTGCCCTATAGCTAAGGGGCCCCCACTTCTGCCCCCTGCTCACAGTGGCTCTAGAACTGAGCTCGACAGACAAGAGCATCCAGACCGGGAGGGAGGGTGCTGGGAAAGGCCAGAGGGTACAGGAGGCCTAGGGATGGGGCCAGGGCATGGGCTAGGATCCTGGATTAGGCTCCCCAGGTCCCAGACCCCCTGAAGGAGGTCAGGGGAGACGGGCCTGGAGCCCAGAGGGGGTACCCGAGAGTTTGCAGGGACACAGCTTTGGACGCAAGGCTGAGTGGGGTCAGGACTAACAGGGGCCCCCGCTTTGGGGTGGGGGCAGGACTGCGGTGGGGTGTGGAGCCCAGGGGAAGAGTAGCGTCCACCTTGCTCACTGCTGTGCCTGGTACTTGGCACGAGGGACGCCGGCTGATGGGCAGAATGACCCAGCCAGGAGCAGGCCTGGGTACCCTCTGGGCAACACACCAGGCCCTGGCCTTCGCTCACCTCCCTCAACAAGCTCTGTCCTTCCCTGGCCTCAGTTTCCCTCTGTCAGCCCTGCTCTGCTCTGATGTGGAGGCCTTGAAGGCTCCCAGGGAGCCAGAGGCACCTGACACCTGTCCCCCCTGCTCCCTGCCTCCAGTGCCAGCCTGGCTCCCAGAGCCCACTCCGTGGGCTTAGGGCTAGCATGCTGGGGGCACCCCAGCCCTGACCTGCCAGTGGGGTGAGGAGGCACACGTTGGGGGTGAAAAGGGTGAAACACATACAATGGAATGAGGATGGCAGGGGCAGGGTGGATGAGCGGGGCTGGTCTGGCCTCTGGGACCCCACCAGGCTGGAAAAGGGGCCCCCTGAGGGGGTGCTCAGAGAGGCGGGGCTCGTGCTGGTCGCCGTGCTCCCCAGACCCTAAACCCAGACTGGGCCGTCACGGCAACAAGTGCCTTACCACCATCCTGACAGGACCCGCACACCCTCGCTAACGGACAGCTGCGTGTGCACATGCCCACCCGGCCCTACGCAGGCTCACCCACCCCTGCAGCGGGCACGTAGCCCACTCCCCACCAGGTGCTGAGCAGCGTGGACCCTCGGGCTCTCGGACCCCCAGCACCTCCGGGCCTGGGCAGCCCCTTCTCCCTGTGTGACCCCCGCCCCCCCCCCACCCCCCCACCCCGTAGGCCCAGCTGGGGAGTTCTTCCTTTGGGCACTCAGGCCGCCCCCTGTCTTGCTCAAGGCCAGGCGATCACGGGCCTGTCACGGGGAAGTCAGGTGGCAGGTAGCCCCACCGCGTGTCAGCCAGTGTGGGCGCTAGGCCCACAGCCTCGCAGGGTACGGCTGGGGGAGCCCGGAGGGTGGCAGGCTCCCCGCAGGACCTTGGCCGCTGCTCTTCTGGAGCCTGCTCTCACCGGCCTGGGGCCGGGCTGCCCGTGTCCGGCTGCTCAGCCTGGGTGCTGGGCCTCGACGGTCTGTCCAGGGCCGGGAGCTGGCCTCTGGATGTGTGAGCGGGCACAGGGTGCCCTTCCTGGGGGCAGTCTGGCTCTCGCCAGAGGCTCTGCCCGCAGCCCCCTCCCTGCCCCTGCGGCGGGGCCGGACACCTTACCTGCCAGCGTCAGAGGCTACTCTCGTAGCTGGTGGCCACCTTCTGGCCCTTAAGCCCAGCACCCCAGCTTAGTCCTGGCGCTGGCGGGGGGGGTTCTACGGTGGACAAGAGGCGCCTTTCAGTGTGGTGTGCTGGGCCCTACCTCCCTGGGTGTGCAGAGACGGGCCGGCCCACTGCGCCGGGGAGGGCCCTGCCCCCTGGGGGGCAGCGAGGTGGGCACGTCGGAGGGGCCACACCCCTGCTCACCAGCCCGCAGGGCAGCCCAAGCTGAGCCCCCGCCTCACCTGACAAATGCTGGGCGGAGGGCTGGTCGTGTGTGCTCAGTAGCTGGGTCTGAATGGTCTCCACGACCCTCTTGAAGCGGCGGCTCGGGCCTGGGGGAGACAGGGGGTCATGCCCAGGCCCAGGGTTAGCCCGGAGCCCGTGCCCTGGGCCAGCGGCTCACCTGACAGGAGCGTGAATGTGACAGAATAGATGCCGTTCTCCTTCTGCGCTGCCCCGCCCTCGGTGTAGGTGATGTCCACCTGGAACTTGACCGGCTTCTGGAACACCGCCGGGCCCCCTGTCGCCTTATACTCAGCCCGGAAGCTGGTCTGGGAGATGACGCTGTGGCTGAGGCTGGGGATCTGCAGGGCGGCAGGGTGGTGTGAGTGTGCAGTGCCCGAGCCGGTCCTCCACGCCACCCTGTGGACCAGGCTGGAGCCCCTAACCCTGAACTTCCGTGCAGGCTGGGACACGAGAGCCGAGTGGAAGAGCAGAGGGTGGGGGGGAACAGGGAGGCAGGAACCAGGAGGGCGGCGCAGGCCCCTGAGAGCAGCGGCGGTGGCGGCCAGGATCAGGGCTAAAGCCTCTGCTGTGCTTTGCGAAGGTGCCTCCGGAGGCTGAGGCCACTTGGCCATCGCTGAGCTCGGGCAGAGGGGCCCCTGTGCACCTGAGTCACGGGCAGCAAGGGGGCATGCCCCTGAAGACGGACTCCGGAGGTGGTTTTGCCTTGGGAAGGGGGGGGGGGGGGTTACCCCTAGGACGGTGCTCTGCTGCTCAGGAGAGCAGCCGTGCCAGGAGGCTGAACGGGGTGTCGGCCGAATCCCCATCACACTTGGGAGGAGCACTTGGGAGGGCTTGAGGGAGAGGGAGACCCAGACTGGGGGCACTGAGGAGGCGAGCAGGCAGGCTGCCCCCCACCCCGGGCCTGCTGCTGGCTCCTCCTGGCCCCCGGAGACTTCTCGTCAGAGCTCTAAGCTGTCCCCTCGCCCAAAGGGAACTTTGGCCGCAGCCGGGACAGCAGGGCTGAGTCCACACTGAGCCCAGGGAACCACACTGGCGGGTCCTGCCCACCCTGGTTGGGGTGGCCCAGCTTGAGCTGCAGGGGTGCCGTGGTCCTGGGGGACCCAGCCCCGGGCGAGGCCCCCTGACAGGACCCGGAAGAAAACGTTCAGGGCTCTCTGCTTCACACACACACTCAAAGGTCTCGCAAAGACAAAAGGAGCACGCCCAGGGCCTGAGGGCAGCCCACCCTATGAGCCACCAGGCCTCCCTCAGAGACACGTGGGGGTGGGCGGAGAGCACACAGGGGACAGGCCTCTGGGACAGTTCCCGAGGCCACGGTATGTCCACCAGACCCAGCAGAGGGCCTTCTGTGTCCAGACCCCACGTCCCCTCCCTGGGGAGCTGCTACATGGTTGCCGGTCTCAGTGAGGTGTCACCCCCCGGGGCTCAACCCCAGCCACCAGCACTCCTGGCCCTCGGCCCTCGAGGCCCAGCCCCACCCTGAGCCCCAGCTCAGCATGACTTGTTTCGTGCACACCTGTCTCCCGCCCCCGACACACTAGTGCCTCCTCAGGAGCCCGCGGCCTGCCCCGGGCCAGGGGGCCACGTGGTGACCCTCAGGCGCCAGCCAGGGCAGTGGGAGCCAGTGGCTGTGTGGCATGCGCGTCGCAGGTGGGTGGGGTCATGGGGGCTCACCGACAGGAAGGCGTGAACAATGTCGGCTTTGATGGAGCTCAAGGGCTTGTCCTTGATCACCACGAAGATCTGCTCCTCCTTCTCCAGGTTGATGAAGTTCCCAAACCACGACTTCTTGGCGAGCCTGGGCAGGGGGGCGGGGGTGGGGGCAGGGTCTGCTCACTGTCGGCAGAGATTCTGGGGACAGGCCCGCGCTCCCCTCCAGGCCGAGGCCGGCTCACTGCCCTGCTGCCCCCTCCCCCTCCCCCACTCTTGCTCTGGCTCCCGACTCCTCCCCCCCCTGCCCCCCTCCCGTGCCCGCCTGGGTCTGGGCAGTGCCCAGCAGAACCCACCACAAAGGAAGGTAGAGCCCAGCCTCACTCCTGCTTCAGCCACCGAGTTTTGGGGAAATTGTCTCTACACCATCCCTGAGGGAGGTTCCCCTGCCCTGGGGCTGCACGGGGAGCAGGCGCAGCGCAGGAGGCCAGGGTAGGGGGTCGCGGCCGGCCGGGGAACTCTGCACCCACACGGACACATGGATGGGGGGGGATGCTGCGTGGAGAATGGGGGCTGGGGGCCCAGGAGGCTGTGTGCCCCTCCCACCTGACGGGGCAGCCTTGGCTCCCCGGGGGCCACCCTCTGTCCTGGAGGACCAGGGGCCGCCTGGCCGTCCACATTCCTGCTGCCCAGCCCGCTCACCCCGTGGAACACGGAGGCTGCTTCCAACCCAGCTGCTCTACTGGGCAGGGCAGGGCAGGGGCCGCATCCTCCCGCACACACTGAGCCCCTCACCTCACTGGCGCCCAGGGCTTCCCTTACTGTCCTCTGTCTTCTGTCCGGCCTTGTTATTCTGCTCTGCGTCTGGGGCCACCACGTGCTCAGAGCACACCAGGGCGGGAGACCCTCAGTTGGCCCACCGTCCTGCCTCCCGCATTCACACGCCCGTGCCGGTCCCTCCCTTGGGAGCCCCGAGAGTGACAGATGTCGCCTCCGAGAACACGTTGCACAGGCCGCGACTCCTGCTTGCCAGCAGGTCCCCACGGCACTGTGACAGAGCCAGCTAACACGACGGAGAGGCCCGTATCCGAGGAAACCGCGTCCTGCCCACAACCACGTGAGCTTGGCGCAGGCCCTGCTCCTGCTGAGCCTTGAGAGGACCACAGCTCGCCGACCGCCTGCAGCAGGGGGCCCAGCGGGGCCACCCGGGGTCCTGACCCACAGAGCCCGAGAGGAGGAATGCGTGTCGTTGAAGCCTCTAAGCTTTGGAGCGGTCTTCCAGGCCGCCGTCTCTCACCGCATCAGTGACACCGGACCCGAGTTCCGCCCGTCAAACCATCAAACACCCCCATTCAGACCTCGAGGCAGCCAGCGAGGCACAGGCAGGGCCCCGCTGGGCACGTTGCTGTGGGCCCAAGCGGCCTCTGCTCAGCTCGGGGACCCTGACCCCACAGTGCACGTCCCTCCACCCCCATTCCTGCCTCCCCGCCAGCCCTCTGCTCTGCTTCCTTGCCCTGGAGCGCAGGCTTCTGCCCCAGCACCCGTCCCCAGGGCCTGCAGCCCAAGAGGTACTCGGGAGTCCGTCTGGAACCCGCCGGGGGTTCTCTTTCTCCTCCTTTGACAGAGATGATAGAAGAGTCACTGAAAACGTCATTTGTTTGCACCCTGGGAGCCCAGCTGTTGGGCAGCTGGCACAAATAGTCCCGTGCCTGAGGGAGCCAGAGAGGCTCTTGCCGGTCGACTCCACAAGTCAGCTCGGCCACCCGGGCGGCTGCCAGGTGCTGCTGCTTAGACGTGTGGTAGCCAGGCGTCTCTGAGTAAAGCAGACCACTCTCCAGGATGTGGTGGGCCTCATCCAACCAGGTGAAGGCTTCGAGAGGGAAGGCTGCAGTTTCCCTAAGGAGTTCCGCTCGACAGAGCACCACGGGGTTCCCCACCTGCACATTTCACACTCAGGGCTGTGACATCACCCAAACCTGCTTATTTCCACCTGCCGAACCCACGGCCTGAGGCCTGCCGGCCCCCACGATCACGTGAGCCAGTTCCGAGAAACAGCCCCACGTGTACACACTGGTGCACTCGCACCCCACCGGGTGGGGGGACCCTGACCGACACGCTGCCGGCGAGGATGTCCCCTGTAGGAGGCGGCGCTGGGGATTAGCTGCGCCGAGCTCCCTGGGCGGCTGCGCACCTGCCGGGTCCCATCGGGACCCCCAGGAGGGGCGAGGCCCCCAAAGGGGCTCGAGAACGGAAAGGCCTCAGGGCATCAGGTGCTGTGGGACCTAACTTGTCCGCCAGCACAACAGTCCTGTTACAGGGCCGCCTGTGAGTGGCGACAACAGCAGGAAGGGTCGACGAGGCCCTAACCCAGCACGTGGGGCCCGCCTGCCGCACCTGCCCGCGGCCCGGGTGTCCGCCCTGCCTGCAGGCACCGCGTCCCCAGGCCCCGCGGGAAGCCTGCCCCACGGCGGCACCTTCTGCTCAGTCAGCGAGACCGTGGCCTTCGAACAGGCTGCCCGTGTGAGGCCACGGCGGCTTCCTGCTCCCCTCGCTGGCGCTGTCCCACACCCACGCCTCGCTTCCTGTTTGTGCCATGCTGCCAGAGCCAAGTGGCCAAGGCCACCACGAGGGCCAGGAGGGTGGGGGCGGGGCCTCTCCAGGGTCTCTGCCACAGTTGAGGCCAGCTGCGGGGTGGCTGTGGCTCCACTCGCCCATCGCCTCCCACGGGACCTGCTCCTCCTTAATGGCGATGGTTAGCTGAGGGCTTGGTCTGCCCCTGGCACCCTCCCGCAGTGCCACCCTCCGCAGCCCGCTTCCTCCTCCTCCTCCTCGGCCAGCGCCATGTTTTCGCCTTGAGACCCGCCATCCTGGTGAGCCCCCAAATTCCTGGACGCATCCTGGGCTCCGCTCCGCCCTCGGCAAGCCCGTGTCAGCACGGCCCAGCGCTCCTCTCCCCGGAGGCTGCCTGCCGCAAGCACCACAGGCCGGTCCTTCACAGGCCCCCTGTGCCCGGCGCGTCCAGGGCTGAGCCTGCGCCCAGAGAGTCGTGAGCACGCCTGGCCACCAGCGCTCGGGCTCAGGGTCCACACGCTTCCCCCAGTGTGGAGCCCGGGCTTTCGGGCTGGTGTGCGGCAGTCCGTCTCCAAGGCACGGCCGTGCCCTCCCTGGTCTCCAGCCAGGCTCCCTACCCCAGACCCAGTTCCCTGACCTGGCGTTCACAGCACAGGACACAGAGCTGTGAGTGCCAGAGAGGAGGTGTCCCAGAGGCAGGAGGTGGAGGGGGCACCTGGGGCAAGCACAGGGTCACAGGGAGAAGGAATAAGCACCCGGAGGGGCTGGGGTGCTTTACCCCAAAGCCCTCGCGGGTCCCCAGCCCGCCATGTGGGAGGACCCAGCACCGGCCTCCCCACGCACTCGGTGTCTGGGCACCAGGAGGGAGGCCAGTGGCTCACAGTGGACGTTGGGCAGTGGCCACTTACTCTGGGGACGACTCCGGGGTCAGGTTGGACATCTCCTCGGGTGTTGGAACTGTGCACGTGGGAAGGACAGGAAGAGAAGCCATGGTGACCCTCTCCCCTTCCCTCACCAGGGATCCCCCTGCACTGCGGGCAGGGTCCTAGGGAGCCACCCCACAAGCTCCTGGGGGCTCACCACCAGAGCCTAGGGCCGCGGGGCAGTCCCACGGTGCTGTAATCGGGCTGTGCTTTCTCTAGCCTCCAGCCAGCCCTGCTGTCACCAACAGCCAGCCATGGTCCCCCCGACACCCGCCCATCCGCTGTGCTATAGGCTCCAACAGCCAGTGGAGCTGCCAACCGACCCTCGGCACCCAGCGTGCAGGAGCAGGCTGGCCACCGCTGCCCCGGTCCCACGGGCTTCTGACTGTCCTCGACCACACCCGCCCCTCGGCTGGCTCCCCTCCCTGGGCTCAGGTAGCCCGGCCCAGCCACACCCGCCAGGCCCTCGACGAGTAGGCAGGCATCGGGGCTGCTGCCTGGGCCCTTGCTGGCCTAGAGGACTCAGGCCACTGCCTGGTGCTTTTGATGGGGTGAACCAGGAAAGTGGGGAGGGGGCGGCCCCTGCCACCCCGCCTGCCCCACCGGCCCCCCTCCCCTCCGCTTACCCTGCAATTTCCGGCGGTGGAAGCGAGGTGACCCCAGGAAACTGTTCTTGATGGAGTTAAGCCGTGTCCTCCAGGGCACCCCTCCGACGCTGGGGCTGGACGGTGGCGTGGGGTTGGGTGTGCCCGCCGGGCTCTCCTTGGGCGTGTGCACGGGCGTCCCCTTAGGGGTGGGGAGGGGACTACCCCTTGGAGAGGGGTGAGGGGTCACCTGTATGGTGGGGACAGATTTGGTGTTCGGTTCAGTCCCAACGGGTGGGAGCCGGGTGGGGGCCGGCATGGTCGGCGGGCCCGGGGGCAGGGCCAGCTGGGGGCCTAGGCCCCCCGGGACAGGGGGTCGGGCCTGGGTGCCGGCCGGGAGTGGGTTGGACTTGGTGCCCTGCAGCGGCTTGTCGGTCAGCTTGGCCTTGCTCGGCAAGGTCTGGGTCTTGGGGTTGGGCCGCGAGGTGGCCTGTGGAGGGAGGGTGTGTCCGGGCCGAGAGGCGCTCCGACAAGCTTCAGGCTCCACGGAGGTGGCCAGGGGGCAGGCCACAAAGGGGCTCTCGGGGGGTGGGGGGGGCAGGGCAAACTTTCTAACAGGCTACAGGGCAGGCGCGGAGGGCAGGGATCAGAGCGCGAGGGGTCCCCGAGAGCCACCGTGCACGCGCCCACCCCCGCCCCGCATGCACACACGGCACCAGGAGAACCAGAAAAGCAACGTTCAAGCAGGACCCCAAGGCAGGACCAGCGGGGGCAGGCAGGCGTGGGGGTGGGAGCGGGTGCCATAAAAGTACACAAATAACACAGGAGAAAAACAAACAAAACGAAACAAAACAAAGACGTGCAGTTAGCGAGGGCAGCGGCAACCGCGGGCGGCCCCAGCAGCTGGCGAAGGGGGCCTGCTTCCCCGGCTCTGGGAGCCCCCCCTGCCCCCCGTGCACGCCGGGCCTGTCGGGGGGGGGCGGCTCACCCGGGGGCTGCTCAGCGGGCTGGTGGAGAGGCCCGAGGAGGCGCCGCTGATAGACCTGGACCTGCAGACACAGGGGCGGGCAGGTCAGCTGGGAGGGGCCGTGCTCTCCACTTCTGTCCCCCAGGTGGACCCTCCACGAGGACGGGAGCCCTGGCCGAGAGCCTCGAGGCGGCCCAGGGCTGTCCAGCGGTGCCCCCCCGCCCCGTCTCTCCCCAGGCCCGGGAGGGCCCCGCAGCCCCATCGGGGTCCCCGTCAGAGCCCCAGTGGGGTGGCCGGCTGCCTGCCCCCCCCAGGGGCTCTGCCTCTTCTCTACGTGGGAGCTGCCCCGGGTCCAAGGCCCGGGCCCAGGACGGCACAGGGGAGCCCTCGGCAAGGGTCTGTCGGGGGCTCAGGTGGCTAGAGGGACGAGGGGAGACGGGTGCCTCCGGTGAGCTGAATCCAGCCCGTGCCTGCTCCGTTCTCCAGGCCCCGGGGGCCCTGAGCCCGGCCAGAACCCCCAAGGCTGAACTGTCACAGGCCCCGAGTCCTGCACTTTGCTGAGCACCTCCCATCCTGCCACGTGGGCCACCAGCTGGGCACCAGCCCAACCCTTCCATGCCCATAGCCCACCTGCCCAGCCCAGAGCCACCCACAGCACACCAGCCTGCAGCCCTCTCCTCCTGGCACAGGAGGGCCTGGGCAAGGCAAGGCCAGGGTAAGTGTTGGCTGAAACCACGAGCCTAGTCCACCACTGGCCCCACTCGGCCCACAGACCTGGCCGGGCAGGCACCCGGCACCCCAAGAGGCCTCGCTCCACCACACCACACGGCCTCAAGGGAGGGCACGCCACGCCCGCTCAGCCCTGGGTACTGGCACCTGCCCCCTTTCGAAGAAGGAAATGGGGGGGGGGTGTGGTGCCGAGGCAGCCACGGGAGAGAAAAGGAAATGAGTGAAGGCCCACCCCCACCAGCCAGCCTGGCCCTGAGAGGGCCCCCGCCCACCCGCCGGCCTGCCTGCCCACACCTTGGCCCAGCCCTTGGGCCTCAGGGAGGAGCTGAGCCCACTCTGACCAGGGCCCCGGCACCTGTGGGCTGGGACCCCATGGCAGCGACCCTCCAACTCCCCCACCTAACACAGCCACGGAGCCAGGGGGTGGCGCTGACCTTGCTTCCGGCCCCCCAGCCCAGCAGGCCCATGGCCAGGACAGTGCCCAGAGCCAGGCCTGGGTCCAAAGCTTCCGGATGCTGGGAAAGGAGTGGGGGCTGTCGGTCCCGGCTGGTGCCCACCCCAGCAGCTGCAGGCCAGCAGGGCAGCAGCCGAGAGTGAGGGCCAGCGCCCAGGGCCTGCCTGCCACTAGGCCAGCCATGCGCTTATCACTTGGCACAAGGAAACCAGAAAAGCAGCAGTGGAAGGAACAGGGGTGGGGGCTGCCTCCATACCCTCCTGTCTAAGCAGGCGGCCCCGGAAACCAGGCTGCACCTGCCCGAGACAGAAAGGATGGGGCCGGCACAGAGAACAGCCGGGGCCGGGCGACAGGTAGGCGGCAAGAGGCCAGCGGTGAGCAGGCAGGGACACGGGCAGGTGTGGAGGCAGGGGGAGGGCAACAGGGGTGAGGCCCAGCCACCGTTGCCCACAGGCAGCAGGCCCTGCAAGGTTGGGGGGGGGGGGGTGTGTGTGCTCAGGAACACCAGGCCCCATGCGGAGACCCCTAAGACTGTCATGCCTCCTGCCCCCTCCTGGGGAGCCTGCAGCCGCCTTGGGCTGTCACCTCCACTCTGGCCCCTGTGGGCAGCAGGGTGACCCCAGGACCCAAGGCCAGCACAGAACAGAGGAGGGGAGGTTTACCAGGGCTACACGGAGGGGGGCCTCACAGCCTGCAAACACTCGGGGGGGGGGGGGGGCCCAGGGCAGGGAGAGCGCAGTGGGTCTCCCGGCCCTTCTCAGGCCGGCCATCGGCCTTGCCCCAGCAGCCCACACGCCTCCTCCTCGGGGCCTCAGCCCTGTCTGGCCCGGGCCCGTCCCCAGCTCGCTGGAGGGTTCCCTCGCCAGAGCTGAGAGGGCCGGATGCGCCTCGGGCCCAGCCCTGCCACCAGGCCCACCGTCGTCTTCGGGGCTGGGGGGCGGGGGATGGGTGGGCAGGGTGTATACCTGTCTTCTTTGCTGAATTGGGGGTGGGCTTCAGCGATATCCAGGCTTTTACTGAACATTGCTTTACTACAGCAGGAACAAAGCGAGAAAACAGAGTTACTGACGCGGCCCCGGCAGGCGGCCTGGGAGGCCGGACCTCCACACAGCTCCGCACAGGCCGGGCACGTGGGCGCGAGGGGAGGCCGGGCAGGAGGGTGCCAGGGCCGCAGCGCACCCCGCCCTGATGGCCTGCCGGGCGGGGTGGCCTGGCCAGGCCTTGGAGGATATGCCCAGCACCCAGCAGCAGCCCTAGGGCCCCTGCAGCCCCAGTGCGGAGCGGCCAGGCCTGAAGAAGCAAGGTCTGGAGCAGCAGCGGCAAGTGAGGAGGCGCCGGGAGGAAGGGCCTTTTGCAGTGGCCGCGGGGATGGCCCGCGGCTGACCCGGTCCCGGCACCTCCCACCCCAAGGCGGCCAGGCCTGGAAGGCAGGACGGGAGACTCGGCCCGGTGGCCTCCCACGCCTGGCCCCTGTTCTAAACGGGTGAGGAGGGAGGGCCGCGGGGTGGCTGGGATGAGGTGGGCCCCGCGTCAGCAGTCGGCCTGCCCCCGGGGCAGGCCGAACGGGAGGCCAGGAGCAAGGCTCAGGAAAGGTGGGCTGGGGAGAGGTGGCCTCTCACCCTGGGGGCCTCCCGGGGAGAGGGGTGCCCACAACAAGCAGGACGCGAGGCAGTCAGGGCGGGAGCTCAGCCAGCAGACACCTTTCTCCCCACCACCCTAGCCAGCCTCCCAGTGCCAGAGCCCACGGGCAGCGGGCCGCGGTCGTCCGGAGACAGCCTGTTGCCCCGGGGAAGGCCCGGGACCACTGGGGGAGCCGTGCCCACTTGAATCCTGACAGTGATCCCGTTTCCTGGCAAATTCCTTGGGAGGCCCGGCTGGCCCCAGCACCTAGCCCCCAGCTGACCGGAGAGCTGGGACCTCCCGTGGTGGTCTCCACGCCCCAGAGCTCTGGCTAAAGCCCCTGCCTGGGCAGGAACATTGGGCCTCACCCCAAAAAGACCCCCGCCCAGTGCCAGGGTGAGGACTGGATTTGCCAAGGGCCTCTCCCAGCCAGCCAGAGTCCGCGGGGGCTCTGCAGGACCAGGACGCCCTTCCTTCCTCCAGGGGGCGCTGCTGGTTCAGCCCACACCTGCTCGCCGCCCCTCCCCCCCCGGCGGGGGGGCGGGGGCGCCCCGCGTCCCCTCCCCCTGCCCACCCCATCCCCACCACAGAATTCCATGCCCTTGATCCCAACACTACCACAGGTGACCCAAACACGGGGCCAGCATCAAGTGGGGACAGGCCTCCTAGGTAGCTCTGAACGTGGCTTGACCACCCCCAGCGTAGCCAAGTCCAGGCCACTCCGGTCCAGCCCAACCCCTGACTAGCCTCGTTCAACACAGGCCAACAGAGCAGAGCTCTGCTCAGCTCAGCCCAGCCCAGCTCAATCCAGTCCAACCTAATCCACCCCAATCCAGTCTAACCCAGCTCAGTCCAGCCCAGTCCACCCCAACCCCACTCGGTTCAGCCCAGTCCAGCCCAGTCCAGCCCATCCTATCTCGACCCAGTCCAGTCTAGCCAAGCCCAGCTCAGTCCAGCCCAGCCCAGCCCAGCTCAGTCCGGTCCAGGCCAGGCCGGGCCAGCTCCGCCCAGCTCAGTCCAGTCCGGCTCAGTCTAGCCGAGCCCAGTGTAGCTCAGCCCGGCCCAGCCCAGCCTAGCCCGGTCCAGCTCAGTCCGGCCCAGCACAGCCAAGCCCAGCACAGCCAAATCCAACGGAGTCCAGTCCAGTCTAGCCCGGTTCAGTCCAGTCCAGCCCAGCCAAATCTAGCTCAGTCCGGTCCAGCTCAGTCTAGCCGAGCCCAGCCCAGTCCAGCCCAGTCCAGTCCAGTCTAGCCCAGTCTAACCCAGTCCAGCTCAGCCCAGCTCAGCCAAGCCCAGCTCAGTCCAGTCCAGCCCAAGCAGCCCAAGCAGCCCCACCGAGCCCCCCAGCACAGCGCGTGGTCCAGCCCCACCCGGTGGCCTTGGCCCAGCCCCAGGACTAGGGGGCAGAGGCGAGCCACGCCAGGCCCAGCACAGCCCGCGAGGAAGGAGCGCCAATGCCGACCAGGCCGGGCCACCAGGAGGGCAGAGTGCTGGGTCCTCCTGGAAGGCACGCACCTCTGGCCATGCTGGGCCATCTCGATGGCCCGCCGCGCGGGCACCGGGGAGCCGCCGTCTGTCACGCTGAGCACCTCCATGGACTTGCGTTCCGGCCGCCGCTTGCCGTGCCGGTTCAGCATTGGGGAGTCCACACGCTTCCGAGGAGGGTCTGTGTGCAGACAGGGGTCAGGGCCAGGCAGCCCGCTGGGCCTGGAGGGGGCAGTACGGGACCAGGCCACCCTGGGACCTTATACCTATTTCGTTTCTGGGGGGCAGGTCCTCGTCCTCATGGCTCGGGTACCTTTCTTTCCGGTCCAGGAGAAGGAAATAGATCATTTTCTCCTGGTTTTCCCTGCAGTGGGCGAGAGGCAGGGAGAAGGGTCGGCAAGTCCGTTCCCCGAAGGGCCCTGCCCCCTGGCCACAGCGCAGCCCCCCCGCCGACGTACTCCTCGGACAGCAGGTCCTGCAACAGCTTGTTGCGGTCCCGGAAGCAGCCCAGCGAGTGCATGCTGTCCAGCACGTCGGGGTCGATGTCCTCCAGGCTGGGCAGCGAGCGGATCTGCACCTTGCGGGGGATGGGCTGCTCCGGCTCCGGCTCGTTCTTGCCCCCTCTGTGGATGACAGGCACCGTGGGGTCACTCACCCCCCCCTCTGCAGCCTGGGGCTTCTCCGCCCCCACCCTGAGGTGCTGGGAGGGCGGGGCCCACCCCTTCCTGGGGCCCTGCAGCTTGCTGCTCTCCCTGCACCCGGCCCCTGCACACCTCCTGTGTCCGGCCCGTGCCCAGCGCAGGCCGGCCCCGGGGGGCCTCGAGAGCCAGGAGCGGCTGAGGCTGGGAGCCGGCCTGCGCTGGGCTGGGTCGCCCCCCGCCTTCCCTAGCAGGCCCTCCAGGCCACGGTGACGGGTGACAGGCAAAGCAGGTGATGTGGGAGGAAAGGCTACTTACATATACCATATGTGTTTCTGAATGTGCTCTAGCTACAAGGAAAGAGAAACAGGGAGTTAGTAGGAGCAGGGAGGGAGGAGCCCACGTTAGGAGGCCAGAGGGGGCGGGAGCACGGGGAGGGAGGACCACAGGAGTGTGCAGAGAGCAGCACAGCAGGGGTGGGGAGGGGAGGAGAGAAGGGACGGGGGGGGGGGGCCCAAGGTGGGGGGAGCATGGAGGAGAGGGGCTGCACCCCTGACCTAGTACCCCTGACCCTGCGTATCCCAAGTGGAAGAGGAAATGCTGGCCTAGAGAAAGAAGGAAGGTGGGCAGGGCTGGGGGCTGCAGGCAGGGCTGGGGGCAGAGGGAGTGAGCAGGGAAGCAGAGTGGCCTCCTGGGCCTGGCGGCTCCAGGCCGAGGCCAGGGGAGGAGAGCAGGGGAAGCGGCCAGGGCGGCCCTCCTTGTGCACAGGGAGGGGCTGGGTGCAGGTGTGAGCAGGAGGCTTGGGGGCCAGCCCTGCTCTCCCCCCAACTCCACCCAGGACAGCTCGGCTGGGAGGAGGGGAGAGGGTGGCCCCTCGGGCACCGGGCCGCCCCTGTCCTGCAGAGGACAGTCCGGGGAGTCCTGCTGCCCTCGCTCTGGGGACCTGCCATCCCGGCACTAGCTGAGCCCCAGGGAGGCTGGAGACGGCCAGCCGGGGGCCTCTTTCCGAAGTGGGAGCTTACCCCCCGCCACCCTCTCTGGTCCCCAGCTGTCCTGGGGAGCGGCGGTGAGGAACTATTCACACCAACCTAGCCCTGGACAGCCCGGGAGGCAGGGGCCTGTATTGTGGGCACCGGCCTGCCAGGCACACCAGCACTCCCAAACCACGTGTGCATCCCTGTGTACCCGCCTGTGCTTGTGCACACACGCCCGCGCAGCTGTGCACACGCGTACGTGCACACGGTTCCGACCCTTGTGCTCCCTCTCACACACGCCGTACGCACCCAGAGCCCCCCATACCACACTCGGGCACGGGCCGGCCCTTCCCTCTGGGAGGAGGCTCCGGAGACGGGAGCCCGGCCCTAACAGGGTGGCCCCGGGCAGGGATCTCGCAGGCTCCGGGGGGCGGGGCGGGGGTGGGGGGGGCCCTCCACGACGCCTGGGACCCACCGTGAGGCGCCGGGCCGCGTCCACCTCGATCATGCCGCGCAGCAGGCTCTGGCAGTCGGGCGGGATGAAGTGCGGCATGTGGAAAACACCCCGCTTCACCTTCTCCAGCAGCTGCCTCAGGTTGTCGTCGTCAAAGGGCAGAGCCCCCTGCCGGCAGGGACCGGGGTCACTTCAGGCGGGGCGGGGGGGGGGGGGGGGGGGGGGCCGCGCGGGCAGCACCACGGGAGGGAGGGAGGCCGGGCAGGGGGCTCACCACCAACAGGGCGAATAGGATCACGCCGCAGCTCCACACGTCCGCCTTGCGGCCGTCATACTTCTCCCCCTGCAGGCGGCAGTGGGGTTGGCGGGGTGAGCGCCCGGGGTGGGGGGCTTTGCCCAGACCCAGGGTCGGGGAGGGAGCCAGCCGGGGCCTGGGGGTCCGCACAGCTGACGTGGGGAAGGCCCTTGGTCAGGCAGGGACTAGGGTGGGGGTGTGGGGGCAACGGCCACTTACCCGGATCACCTCGGGGCAGGCGTAGTGGGGGGACCTGCAGGCAAAAGCGGCGATCAGGTCCGAGGCCCGGGCCCTGCTGCCTGCCCTGGCTGTCCCACCCCACCCGGACCTCCGGGCTGCCCCCAGGACCACAGCAGCGCAGACACCCTGAGGCACGCTCTGCCCGCAGCAGATGCCCCGCTGTGGGGCCCTGAGGCCCAGCAGGAAGCTCAGGGGACTTTGATGACAACCCCCTTACAACCTAATCCCCGCTGGGTACACTGTGTGCTTCTGGGGGAGACGGGGGCTGTGGAGCCTCTGGGCTCTGCCACGCTCGAGGCCATCTGCCTGCCATCCGGGTCCCAGGAGAGCACAGTCAAAAGAAGGACCTTGGGGCGCTGCTGAATGGGCTCCGCAGAGAGATGGCCGGCCCGGGATGCCCCTGAGCGAGCAGGTGGCCGCTGGGACTGGACCAGCCTTCCAGGACGCGGCCAGAGAGCGGAAGGAGGGTCTGGGCCTGGCGGGTCACTCACTGCACGGCACTTGGGAGCAGAATCAGGGAGCGGAGCCAGAGGTCCTGGGGCTGTGGCCGCCCCACCCCCACTCTGCCCCCACCCCGGCCGCAGCAGAGACCACTGGCGGCCCGTATGGGGGGGCGGGGCTGGGGGCTGTGCCCGAGAGCGCAGGCCTTCAGGGGCAGCGGCCCGGCCCCCTCCTGGCCCCGCGGCTCCGCTCACCCGCAGCTGGTCTCCAGCAGGCTGTCGCCAACCTGCAGCGACGCCATGCCGAAATCCGCGATTCGGATGTTGTTCTTCTCATCCAGTAGAAGGTTTTCTGGCTTCAGATCCCTGTGGCTGGGAAGGAAGGCGGGAATGAGGCTGACCGGTCCCCTAGCTGCCTCCCCCTCCCCCAAAGCCCACCCACACAGCACGGGGCCAATGGCAGCCCAGCCTGGTGATGTCACAGGCAGCCAATCAGAAGTCGCCTGCCTGGCTGCTGGGATGGAGAAACGGGGACCCTCTGGGGTCACACCACGTGCTCCCACCCATCCTGGGCAGGCTCTGCCTTACTCTCTGGGGTCTCCCCACCATAAGAGCTCTGGGCTGAGGCCATCCCGAGCCCCTCCAATCCAGGGTGACCTGGCCCCAGGAGCCCTAAAAAGGCTGAGGAAGGGGCTCCCAGAGCCTTGGGTGGACACCTGGCAGAAGCTTCCTGATGTTCCTGAAAGGGGTCCAAAGAGAATGTGCTGTCTGCCCCAGGGGCACGGGGCGGGGTGGGGGGAGTGCAAGGGTGGGGAGGGGGTACCTGGTGGGGGATGGGCACCTGGTGGGAGA